CCTTTTGATAATCAGGTATATTCCATTTTTAAAAAGCATAGCCATTTTTATGCAACTGAAAACTGGTTTGCATAGGCAATTGCACAGACCTACTGGTACAGAATATGGAAAATTAGTAAACGCATAGGTGGCAATATACTGAAAAAAATATATCGAAACTACTAACCTGGAATAGGTAGCTTAGACCATTTGTCAAAGCTGTCTTCAATCGAATTGTTCAGCCATGCCGAAAGACTCAACTGACGTTTCTCCGCTGACGACTGATACTCTGATTGCGCCTGCGGCTGCCCGGTCAGCTTATCCTGAAGCAACGAATAAATTTCATCTAAGAGTATGAAACACCTTGACACACCTCTTTATACACTGGTTTCATGACTTCCTGCAGAATAACAAGGCAAGGAAATGTGACTGTCTGCATGCTAGCACACGTTCCGCAAGCAATACTCGAGAACAACAACTTGAAAACTAAAAAAAAATTTTGCAGCAAAGAAAAATGATAATGTTAAAAAAGCTGAAACCGCGGCATGAAAGAAACATCGAGAACAGATGAAAAATAATAATTCCTTTATTTCAAACCTTGACGAAAAATGGAAAGATCTCAAGAAGGTACGTTTTCGAAGCATCAATTGGCCATAAAACTAAACCACACTTAGGAGTCACCGACAACAACTTCAGGCATTTAGGAAAAGTAAGATAGAGAATCATGATATACAGAATAAAGCGCGCCTACTGTGAATTCATCAATAATAGCAAAACCAACTGAAAGGCGGAAAAAAAAATCAAAGAATATCTGACAATACTGAAAACTGCTATATATCGCATACACGTACCGCATTGCCTTCTACATCGAATAGCTCTTAGCCCTACGAAAGTAAACCTTCTCGGCAAAAAACACTTTACCTCAACCATTCACTGTAAAAGATTTTTGCACGTTGACTAATAAGTACTGCTGTGTAATAAATGAGTGAGCTCAAGAATTAAGCAACAAATTTTCTTGGGGGAGGGGGCTTTGACCTTGCGTTAAATACTGCATCACGTAGACCATGACGTCACGGCAAGGATAGGCCACAAGAAACGATGGCACTGAACACCACAACATTACGTTTTGTTAATTCTGCGCCGACTACAAAAGAATACCGCACAGTCGCTGCAGTTCGCAGGCCTACGACTCCTAATCCACTTTTCGTATGGTTGCAACAATACAATGTTAGATTTCTTGCTCAAAGAAATTAACGTTTAAGACAAACTTTGTTCTTTATCGGGACTGAAACTCTGCACATTCGGCTGAAAACCGATTTCCATATCTCTGCGCTTTAAGTCGGTATGTAATCTGCCAGTTTATTTGGAAAAACATAAAAGTAACAGACTTTGTCAATCAAATGTTTTAAAACTTGCGATTAGGTCTACTGAAGCGGGTTCGTTCAGTATTTCTAATTGCACCTGAACGACGGTGTCAGTGCGTGCCTTCGCAACTAGTAGTAAATAGACGAATTTTTAACTATTTCGAATTTGCTCACTGATTTTAACTACGAATTGAAAAGTTACGGTGAAGAATAATTTTCAACAGAAAGAAATCAGAAACCACTTTCGGAATCTAAAATTAAATTCAGAAGCATATTTTTCCTTAAAAATTCTGTTAATACAAAAATAAGATCGTACCGCATCGAAGTTTATCCTCCCAACAATTGTCGTCAGCCGCAATCATCGACATTAACAAGTGTATGTCGTTCTGCACCATTCTGCTCTAAAGGACAAAAGGCGTGAAAACAGAAAGAAGAATAGCCGACAAAAATCAGGCAAAGTAGAACTGGTTTCACTGACTCTAAGTCAGAATGAGTTAACATTACACGACACGAAAATCAAACACTAAAATACAGATCGTGAAGGTCGACGATATGCTGAATAAGAACTTCAAAATGAGTACTATGCTGATTGAAAACTGAAACTGAAATCTTCCCAGCTTTTCATCAATAAAACACTGTTATCAAACTGGAGACTCTGTATAACGCCAGCGAACGAAGCAAAGATGTGGGCTGAGACGAAAGGCAAAACGGCTATACCGCAGGAGCCAAAGAGAAGAAAAGCAAAGTTATTTGATGTACCCTTAACTGCATCGTTTCCAGCAGAACTGCAACAGTTGACTGGTGCAAAAATAACAAACTTAGCAACAATGGGTCATAAATGTAACCAAAAGAAAAATAATGGGAAGACAAAGGCTGTTGACAACATAACACACCATGGAACTTGTTCAATTATAAATGTCACAAATTACCGAACTTGGCTATATCTTGATTGAAAGTAATGACACTGATGGCCGGATCAAAATCTTTCATCATTGTGATTAATAACAGTGTATGAAGTGAGACTGTTTGTAAGGAGCAATGCCGTCGCATTCGAATTCACAGTAACCAGTCAAATTTTTGCCCTCCAGGTCAGCCATAAGCATGACTGTATAAGTCTGATCATTAAGGAGAAAAAGAAGTCTTTCGAAGCGCTTGACGTTAAATAAAACGAAATCAACGATGTTAAAGTAACTTAGCACTCAAGGTTCGCTTTTCTCGTATAAACAGAAAAATTCTTCGATCATGAGGAAGAACAGCAACTACCTGGAAATGAGTGTCAAACAAAGATACAATCTTAGAGCGAGATCAAATGCAAGACCGAAATAATGCTGATAAATGATATTTGAAAGTTAACAGAATTAAAAAGGATTTAAGCTGCTGTTGTCCAGAAAAGAATTAGAAAAGCGTCGCAATTTATTCATGTTGTCAAATAGATTTTTAACTGAGAGTGGATACTGCATTCGTTGTATCACAGAAATGATGTCAAACGTTCAGGAAACCCCTGTCCGCAGACAAAAACTGCTCAGTCCAGCAGCATATGAAGTAGGATATTTTGGTATTCGAAAAGGGTCTTGTACTGACAGCACAGATAAACCTCACATCGAATCAACAATCCGCTGACAGAAGGAGATAAGCAAATAATACACGCTTGAAGATCTAATTATTCTATTTGATAATATTTGCTTTGCACAATTCTAACAAAATCGTGAGCTAAACGAGAAATCAGCTAGGTCATTTAAAACAGAAGTTGACCAAGAGTCCGAAGACGCAATGGAAAGATCGAAAATAATAGATGTCGACCTGCTGAAGTGCCGCGAGTCTAAAAGGCTAGGCTAAAAGTCGATGCAATAAACCGATGCGCTAGACTCGCACAAGGGAATCTCAGGCAGCTTGTGAAATACTGAAAGATTAGAATGTAAAAACAGAACCATCTTCAAAAATTACGTATTAGTAGTACCTATGTATGGCATGTAAACATACATTACCTTGAAAGACCATGAAACAGAATCAGACATTTTATAAGTGCTGCATGTGATGGTGCCACAGCGGATTATGAATGAGCATGTGCAAACAACCGGCAGTTTGCGCAAACTATCTAGAACTAAATGAATAACTCCGGGATAGGAAGCTGATAAACCGCACATATAGAAAACACATTTCAAGACTTCTCTTTTATGGAACCACTGGCCGTAGACGCACTAGGTGACACAGAAAGCAGGAAAATACTTTACCGAGGCAGACCTACTTCCGATATATTTTTAGCCCAAGCAGTAATAATATCTACTATTTCAAACACAACTTTTAGAATTTCAACGCGATATTTCAGATGCAATTTCAAACGGATAAGACAACACGCCCTGGGAAGCTATGCTGTCCTGGTTCTGTTAGCCACAGATAATACAACATCCACCCACAACATTACAGTGTCATCGAAAGACAAGTCAAAATAGTAGTGAAATATTTATTCATTTGTTGAGTTTCTGTAACAATCCTGAAAATCAAAAGCTGACTTGAATCAACTATCGCCCTGTCAAAGTCACTGTATCAGCGCGTTTACGTAGAAACTCGGCATGACAGCATGAACGCAACTGTAATTACCAGAACTTCCTGAGATGAAGTGCTTTGCATGGCATTCAACACTCGTTTCGTGATCTCGTCGCACACCTGCTTCGTTGCCTGCGGTTCATCCACCACAATGCTGCAAAGCACGCTTTCTATTGCCACTCGTGAGTTGCCACTTCCTTGTTGTAGGGCAAGGTCTAAGAGCTTTTCCAAAATTCCCTAAGAAATCTGATGCACTGAGGAGGACAAACAAAATACGTACTTGCTGCGAAACGAACAAAGCTTTAACGTGCAGTTTTGTCGCCAAAGACTGAATAAGAAGAATGCATTGCTCGATCGTAGCCGTAATGCAACCGAAACACTTTTCGCTAAAAGCACAGAAAAAGCATAAAGCATAAAAAAAGCATTTTAAAACATAACGTGCATTACCGCTGAAAATAATCCTATATCAGTTTACGCGATATGAAGTACGTAATTTAAAAAAGGCAAAATGGGCAACGTACTGCAGATGAGCTTGCTAGCCAAAAAAACTGGAGCTGCAAGGATCCGGTGAAATACGCTGTTCCTAACTTTTGCGAGTATTCATAATTACTAAGGTGTATAACCCACAATCTTCTTTCCGGAAAGTGGGCAAGTATTCAATAAGGGATAATAAAATGTAGTGGAATGCAGCTCCTTCAATGACTGTTACAGTTAAAGTCAAATACGAACCCGAAAATGGTAAGAAATGACCTTCTGCAATGAGCTGCGAGGATGTTAACGTATTTTCTTTTGAAAAACTATATATATCCAATTCTACTCTGTCCCAGCAGTTACGAGAAAAATCCATAACCAGGATAACGACTAATACTGAGTCTAATATAATGTAGCACTCTGAAAACGGATATCGTAGGACTTAAGTGAATACAGATCGATTACACTGTTGAAGACGACGAATAACAACTACGGCGATGGACGGGCATCAATCCGTATCACTGGCCTGCAAAAGTAGCGGAAAAGTGAATTATGTTGCAGCAGTTGAGCAACTTAGTTGCAGTATTATTCAATGAAAAGCAAAGTCGATGGATAGGCTTGTTAACTGCAAAATGTGAAGATGTGGTGAAACACTCAGAATTATTCTAGGAATGCAAAACGTTAGCAAACTTCTTCGAGCCCTTTGCGAAAGAGAGCTCTTAGGACTACTTGAGCTATGAAAAATAAACTATCATACCTTTTTTCACCGAAGACCGATGCCTCTGCTTCCTGGTGCGCTTCGTTAGTTCCGCGGAAAAGCCTGTCATATTCAACGATCACTTTGCGGCTCATCAAAATTTTCTAAAAGTCATTATAGAATGATTAATAAATACTCAGAATCGTTGCCCACTATAATAAAATCACTATACAACTTTTGTTGACTGTCTGAAGCAAAATCGAAGCTGACTTCAAAAAGTGCCACAAATTATGTTTAATAATCGGTTGCCATTCTATACTTTCGAAAATTCATTTGTCATGGATGCAAATGAAAACCTGAACATCTCAAGGCTGTTAAATTTAAAAAATTTAATCAACAACATCTGGACAGAGAGACTTCATTCCCACAATTCGAACAGATGCTCGACTGTTCGATTTATTTCATCTATAGAAAGTGACGTTAGTGGGTCAAAATAATGTCGATTAAATTTTAGAAAATCATCGTGGAAAACAGTCATCAGAAGTTTAATTTGGCATTCTACACTTTTCAAAGTTTCCGGATATTAACAAATTTACAGCCTCACAATCAATCACAACGCTAACCGCATAGAACAGATTGAAAGTAATTTTTAAAATCTCTTCGTCATTCACACATTAATACAGGTAACTAAGTCATGCTTTCAAACGACGCCTACGCGTACAAAGTATAATATTTCAACCAGGCTAATATTACTCTACTTCACGGTACTTCCAACGTTAAGAAGAGTAACAGTGGATACTTTGAAATATGGGTTACAGCAAGATATTGAATCGCCGTTAAAATATATGGCTGACCTTGCGGAAAGCAAAATAATTACAGATTCAACAACCAAACTGACATGCAGTGAAAACTCAAAAAAAAAACGCTCCCACCTGCACTCATATGGCTATCGACCCACAATATATATGCTTTGTGGCATACCAAGCCGTCAACTCCGCCCTTGCAGGTCCAGAGCCCAGATGAGAAAGGAGGAGGGTTAGAGACCGTGGCAAGTCACCGTAAAATTCAGCCACCTGCCACTCATGGTAATGAAGTCATCGAAAATTATACTGAACTGGTCGTCGCCCGGGTTACCAAGGGCCGCGCAGGCTGTTGGGGGACTGAGGCAGACTGTAAAAAGTCGGTGATCAAAACCTGCTCAGTGCCCTCTGAGAGCCGGGAGCGCAGCAGCACAACAAGGGTTACGAAGACCGATGGAATGACGACGAAGATACCAGTCAGCAACGGAGTCGCCACCCGTTCTGAACGGAGGAGGCAGACAGCGCGATGCCATTACAGCACGCCAGTAAAGGCTCCACCAGAACGACACCACCAGTGGGAGCTTAAAGTCAGAAATTGGAACATATCCTTACTCAGAGAAAAAGAACATGAATTAGTTGATGAGGTCACGAAGTACCAACTCGACATTGTTGGACTCTCGTCAACAAAACGCCCAAGCACTGGACTCCTCAACCTCAATGGACGGAAGCTGTTTTACTCAGGCGTCGATATCACGACTCGCGCACAGGCCGGTGTTGTTCGGGTAGAACCGATCAGAATAATCGATTGGAAGCCTATCAGCAGAAGGGTGGTAATCCCCCGACAAGC